TCACCAAGTGTTCCTGGCTCTGTGGTTCTCAGCACACTGTACGACTGCATTTGCGTGGCGTCCTCATGACTGGGTGACAATGAATTGTGAGTAGCCAGAGTGTTTAATAGCCCACATGAAGCTCTCCAGAACGCTCTCTCTGCATTGTGCCCACATCATTCCCGATGGAGGCGGCTCTGTTGTCGGGGTTCTTCACTGAGGATATATATAGAAAAGTCCCCAGCATGGCACCCTGTGGATCTGAAGCATAAGCTTGTATTGTGGTGAGGTGGATTAATTTGACTGCCTTCAAGGCCAGCACCCCATATGAGTGCTAGTTTTTATTTGCTGATGTACCTGGGGAAGCAGTGGAAGATAGCCCAAATCCTTGGGCCCCTGCCACCCACATGGGAAACCTGGATGGAGTTCCAGGCTCCAGGCCCAGCACCAGTCCTTATGGCCATTTAGGGAGTGAACCAACAATGGATGGAAGATCTCTCTCTCTTTTTGTCTCTCTCAGTAACTGTACCTTTCAAGTAAATAAAATTTTTTTTTTTTTTAAAGAAATAAGCTTTGGGGCCAGCGCTGTGGCGCACTAGGTTAATCCTCCGCCTGCAGCGCCGGTATCCCATGTGGGCGCCGGTTCTAGTCCTGGTTGCTCCTCTTCCAGTCCAGCTCTCTGCTGTGGCCTGGGAAAGCAGTGGAGGATGGCCCAAGTGCTTGGGCCCCTGCACCTGCGTCGGAGACCAGGAAGAGGCATCTGGCTCCTGGCTTCGGGTCGGTGTAGCTCCAGCCATTGCGGCCATTTGGGGAGTGAACCAACAGAAGGAAGACCTTTCTCTCTGTCTCTGTCTCTCTCACAATTTGTAACTCTACCTGTCAAATAAATAAATAAAAATCTTTTAAAAAAAATAAGCTTTTGTTGTTTTAAGCTACTGAAACCTTGGAATTGTTTCCTGCTGGGTCATAACCTGGATATCCAAGCTGGGATCTTGCCATGTGCCAGGCTCCATACTAGACGCTGGTAATTCAATGCCTTACTTTGATCCAATGGGTCTCTTGAGGGTAGAATCTGGCCATGTGGCAGCTGATGGAGAAACATGGCTCTTTATAAGAAGATGATGTATGTTTATCCAAGGTAGGGTATTCATGAGAACTATGATTTTTCAAAGTAACTGTTTTGTGACACAACTTTCCCTCCCTCAATTCCAACTCTGTTATATGGAGCTAAAGATGACTAAGCTTAGCTGAGATCTTCCCAGAGTCAGGAGGGTGGAAGTGCAGAGTCCTGGGCCCCCATTTAGAAGGCTGATGCATCAGAAAGTTTTAGATATGCCCAGGGAATAGTTTAATAACAAGCTCTGCAAGGAGTTCCAATGCCCAGCCTGGTTAAAAGCCTCTGGCCTGGAGAGCAGACTGTGAGAAAAAAAGATCAAAGTCAAGTAGCCTGATCTTTTCTTGTTTATCTTCAACAGGAAAAACCAAGGCCAGAGCAACCCCAGGGTTCCAGGTTAGGGCTCGCCCTGGAGAGCTTGCCAATAGGCTTGTCCTGACCCGACTTTCCTCTCCTGCCATCCCTCTGGCCGCGGGGGTCCCGCTGACCCCATGAAATAGCATCTCTGTTAGTCTGGCTGCCTCTTCCAGAACCTGTCCTCCCGTCAGAACCTGACTTCTGGGCCATTCCTTCAGGGCTTTGTCAGGTGGTGCCCACCTCCGGATTCAAGTATAGAAACCTCTGCTGTGAATTGCTGAGGTTTCAGAGCTGTTGCTGCAGTCCATGTCCTTGGCAGGACACTGTGGGACTCAGGGCTGCTGTCGGCTTTTCCCACCGCCTCCCTCAGATCACCCACACTAGTGTCTGTGTCCAATGGAGGCCAGCAGAGACTATGATGTATTCATTTCTGCTGTGTCTTTCTCCATCTTTGGATAATTGAGAGTTGGTGTACTTTGTTTTAATCACTATTTTATTTTATTTTAATTATTTATGTATTTGAAATTCAGAGTTAGAGATAAGGGAGAAAGAGAGAGAGAGAGAGAGCTTCCATCCGCTGGTTCATTCTCTGGATGGCCACAAAGGCCAGGGCTGGGCCAGGCTGAAGCCAGGAGCCAAAAGTTTAGTCTGGATATCCCATGTGAGTGGCAGGGGCCCAAACACCCAGGTCATCTTCTGCTGTTTTCTCAAGCCATTAGCAGGTACCTTGATTTGAAGTGGAGCAGCTGAGCCTGGAACCGGTGCCTATATGGGTTTCTGGTGTCACAGGTGGCAGCTTTACCTGCTACACCACAATGCCAGCCCCATTTTAATCATTATTTTAGTTTTCAGTGATATTCCACTCTCACTTCCCAGATTAATAGAGATTAGAATCTATATAGAGATCTATACAACAGATTAAAATCTATATAATCTCTGTCTATAATATATAGAATCTATATAATAGAGATTAGAATCTCTAGTATCTATATAATAGATACTAGAGTGTATATAATCTATATTTACATAATGATAATGTATAATCTATACAAATCTATATAATATAAATAATATAAGTCTATATAACAATTGCTTTGAGTTGTCCTGATCAGAATCCCAGGGGTTTAGGGGAGCCACACCCACAACGACCAGATGACAACCAGCTTTCTGACAATGGTTGTAGCCAGAGCTGGGGGCTGGGTTGGAGAGGATGCAGCAGCCCAGACGCACATAAAGTGGCATGAGCTCCACCACGGAGCACTTGAGCACGCAGGCCACTTCCTGCCTTGTTGAGGGAGCATCCAGATGAAAGGGAAAGGCAGGTCATTAAATAGTCAAGTACTACGCTGCCATGTGCCAGGAGGAGGAAGCTGCATGGGCCAGGACCCTGGGCCCACTCGTTTTGAGCAGGACCACGGCGAGGCCAGCAGGGCTCCGGGGTGAGTTGGGTCATCAGTGTGTTTGGAGCAGAGAGCTGCTGGAAGGTTTCTTGGGCACACTATCTCCTTCCTCCCCTGACTTGAGGCTGGAGACAGAGGTTTCAAATAGGCCCTGTGTGGGGACCATTCAGGACACACCAGAGAGGGGACAGGCTTCCTCCCAGAAGTGGTCCTGAGCAAGAATTTGGAAACACTTCTGCTCCTTTATTCCCATCAGGACATACTTTCCCAGGGCCCACGAGCCTCCTGAAATTGATGAAAATTTAGTGTGTATGAAAGGTATGTGTAAATCATAAAAAACCTTTAAAAAAACCTTTAATTTTTCAGTGGAATTCTTTATCCCTAAGTATTAAAATAATAATAATGATCTGAGGGCTGATGCTGTGGCCTAGCAGGTAAAGCTGCCTCCTGCAGTGTTGCCATCCCATATGGGCGCCAGTTCAAGTCCTGGCTGCTCCACTTCTATGGCCTGGGAAAGCAGTAGAGGATGGCCCAGGTCCTTGGGCCCCTGCACCCACCTGCGAGACTCAGAGGAATCTCCTGGCTCCTGGCTTCAGATAGGTCATTGCTTTGAGATTTTTTTTTTTTTTTTTTTTTTTTTGCTTTCCGATGTAGATGGCTATCATAAAGTTCCGTCTAAGCATTTTTTTTTTCACTGCGCTTCATGCATTTTGTTATGTTGTGCTTCTGTTTTCATCCATCTTAGGGTATTTCCTAATTTTGCTTGTGATTTCTTCTTCAGCCCTGTGGTTATTTAGGAATGTGTGAATTCTCTGAATTTCCCTGTCGCTGATTTCTAATTTCATTCCATGATGACTGGCGAGCATCTTTTGTATGATTATTATTATTATTATTATTTTTGACAGGCAGAGTGGATAGTGAGAGAGAGAGAGAAACAGAGAGAAAGGTCTTCCTTTTGCCGTTGGTTCACCCTCCAATGGCCGCCACGGCTGGCGCACTGCGGCCGGGGCACTGCGCTGATCCGATGGCAGGAGCCAGGTGCTCCTCCTGGTCTCCCATGGAGTGCAGGGCCCAAGGACTTGGGCCATCCTCCACTGCACTTCCCTGGCCACAGCAGAGAGCTGGCCTGGAAGAGGGGCAACTGGGAAAGAATCCGGTGCCCCGACCGGGACTAGAACCCCATGTGCCGGTGCCGCAGGCGGAGGATTAGCCTATTGAGCCGCGGCGCCGGCCTCTTTTGTATGATTTTAATCCTTCTAAAGTTCCTTACACTTGCTTCATGTCCCATCCCATAGCCATTCATGGAGAATGGTTCATGCACATGGGAGAAGGTATATTCTGGTATCATTGCATGGAGTCTTCTATTATAGGTCTAGTTGGCTTATAGTGCTAGTTAAATCTCTTATTTCCTTGTTGACTTTGACTAGCTTTTCTACCCATTATTGTGGGGTACTGAACTCTCCATCTATTATTATTGACTTGTCTATTTTTTCTTTCCTTTTGCTTTCTGTTTCTTAATGTGGATTCAAGCTGCTGCACAGTGTGCTTAATTAACTTCAGCCTGAAAGACTCTCTTAGTTCTTTTGTGTGTGTATGGGTGAGGGGAGTGTTGCTAACCATGAATTTTCTGTTTTTGTGTATCTGGGATTGTCTTATTTTCTCCTTTCTTTTTATTTTTATTTATTTAAAAAAATATTTATTTATTTATTTTAAAGAGTTACACAGAGAGAGAAGGAGAGGCAGAGAGAGGGAGAGAGGTCTTCCATCTGCTGGTTCACTCCCCAGTTGGCTACAATGACCAGAGCTGCGCCGATCTGAAGCCAGGAGCCAGGAGCTTCTTCCGGGTCTCTTGTGTGGGGGCAGGGGCCCAAGAACTTGGGCCATCTTCCACTGCTTTCCCAGGTCATAGCAGAGAGCTGGATTGGAAGTGAAGCAGCTGGAACTTGAACCGGCACCCATAGGGGATGCTGGCACTGCAGGCAGCGGCTTTACCTGCTATGCCACAGCACCAGCCCCTCTCCTTTCTTTTTATTTTTTTATTTTTTATTTATTTATTTTTTTTGATAGGCAGAGTGGACAGTGAGAGAGAGACAGAGAGAAAGGTCTTCCTTTGCCGCTGGTTCACCCTCCAATGGCCGCTGCGGCCGGCGCACCGCACTGATCTGATGGCTGGAGCCAGGTACTTATCCTGGTCTCCCATGGGGTGCAGGGCCCAAGCACTTGGGCCATCCTCCACTGCACTTGCCTGGCCACAGCAGAGAGCTGGCCTGGAAGAGGGGCAACCGGGACAGAATCCGGCGCCCGCCAACCGGGACTAGAACCCGGTGTGCCGGCGCCGCAAGGTGGAGGATTAGCCTAGTGAGCCGCGGCGCCGTCCTCCTTTCTTTTTAAATGACAGTTTTGCAGGATATAGAATTCTTGGCTGGTGATCTCCTTACAGGACTTTGAATATGCCAGTTTGGTTTCTATATTTCTGATGAAAAGTCAGCTTTTTAAAAGGTGATTGATTAGTTTTAGAGGAAGTAAGGGAAGGAGGGGAAGAGAGAGAGGGAGAGAGAGTGAGCCATCTGTCAGTTCATTCCCCAAATTCTTACAACAGCTGGGATGCTGAAGCTGGGAGTTGTGAACTTAATCCAGGTCTCCCATGTGGGTGGCACAATGCAACTACTTGAGCCATTGAGCCACCACCACTGCCTCCTAGGATCCGAGTTATCAGGAAGCTGAAAACAGGAGCTGGACCTGGGGATTGAATCCAGACACTCTAATATGGGATGTAGGCACCCTAATTAGTATTTCAACTACTAGTCCAGATCCTTGCCCAGACAAATCAACTGTTGATCTTATTGAGGATCCCCTGTACGTGGCGAGTTGCTTTTCTCATGCTGTCTTTTTTTTTTTTTAAATATGTATTGATTTATTTGAAAAGCAGAGTTACAAAGATGCAGAGGCAAAGGCAGAGTGAGAGAGAGATCTTCCAACCACTGTTTCACTCCCCAATGGCGTAACAGCCAGAGCTGGGCTGATCCAACGCCCGGATCCAGGAGCTTCTTCTGCGTCTCCCACATGGGTGCAGGGGCATAAGAACTTGGGCCATCTTCTACTGCTTTCCCAGGCCATAAGCAGGGTGCCAGATCAGAAGAGGAGCAGCTGGGACATGAACCAGTGCTCAGATGGGATGGCAACGCTGCAGGGAGAGGCTTCGGCTACTATGCCACGATGCCAGCTCCTTTTTCAATTCTTTGAGTATATTTAGAATAGTTGGTTTGAAGTCTTTATTGGGAAGTCCACTTTTTGGTCTTCTTCAGACAGAGTTTCTGTTGATTGCTTTATGCCCTGTATATGTGTTATGCTTTCTTGTTTTTTTGTATGCCTCATAATTTCTTGTTGAAAATTGGATCTATAATAATTGAATACATTAGGAAAACTCTAGAAATAAGATTCTTCCCATTCCTCAGGGTTTGTTGTTACTGTGGCTTGTCTGTTTAATGACTTTTGGAATTAATTCCATAGTCTCTAGTCAGTTAATGACTGAACAGATTGTCTTGATGCATGGAATTAGTAAGTCTCTCACTTTTGCAGAGGAGCTCTGTGTGTATGTTGGGGCTTGGCTTCAACAATCGGACAGGAAGTTTGTGACCCTGGTCTTCCTGCTTGTGCAGAGCCTCAAGGTAAGCCAGGAGGGAGAGCGTAGGACCTTTCTTAGCTGTTTCCTGCACACGTGCACGGCCCTGGCATGTGCACAGATCTATGCCTGTATGTGGCTTTCTAGATTCCCAGGAATTTGTCTTCCAAGCCACTCCCAGATTTTCCTTGTTAATATTTTGGTTGCTCCAACCATTACCCATTGCCTCAGGCAGCCACAAAGTCCAACAATTATCTCCAATTGTTTTTGACAAATGTCCTTAGGGAAAAGCTATTCACTTGGGGCAAGCTCTGAGTCAGGTCAGATAAAGACAACTTTGCTACAGGAATCTTCCAGGGAACCACCGGACAGTCCAAATAATGACAACTCTCTGGGCCTGGGGCTTTCAGGGGCTCCAAGCCTATTTTACCCCTTCTTGTGGCTGCCACATTGCCGATTTCCACTGTGATTGTGAAATACTGTTTGTCCAAGGGCACTGAGAACAAGAGGGGATGGAAAGTGACAATGCCACAAAACACACTTTATTACTGAGACGATGTCATCTTCCTTGTGTAGATACTTCCTCAGCTCCCTGTACGTGTTTGGTTCATTTCCGGAGTTCTGAAAAAGTTCTGACCATTCCCCCAACCCCGCCCCGTTTTCTCATGGCTTTCCCAGAGGAAAGGATTGCCAGAGGTCTTTGCCATTTTCCCTGACAGCCCCTGCAGTATATTTGAAGTGTCCTCCTCTGTGATGGCCCGCCCATTTCTCAAGGCCAAACTCCAGCATCTTCTTGGTTGGGAAGCTGTCTCTGTCCTCGGGGCAAAAGAGCCAGCTGTTCCTCTACTGTCCTGTCCCTCTGAGTTCAGCCTCTGCAGTCCACTTGGGACGAATGACAATACTTTATATCTGTTCCTGTTTTTCCTTCTTGCCTATGAGCTCCCTGTCGGTGACTGAGGCATCCCCCACGCCCAGCCTGGGCGCGAACATGCAGTAGGCGTCTGTTTGCAGGCTGAAGAGTGTTGCCATAGGAGACCTCAGAGCTGACCCAGGGAAGTGGGCTCCAGCCGCCATTTCTCTCCTCCTGCTTCTGTGATGCATAGCCGCCCTGTTGTGTCTTCATTGCTTTGCAGGTGGCGAGCTCTGTGGGATGAGCACAGCCCCAGAGGACCCAGTGAGTAGATGCTGAAAATAGGAAGCAAAAAGTAAAAACCAAGCCTGTGTGGCTGGGGTTCAACAGTAATGAGAACAACTGTAGCAGTTACTGTGCTGGACCCCAGGCTAAGCACTTTTTAGTCAGTATCTCATGTAATTCTAACCAACTCCAAAGAGCAGGTACCATTACTCTCATTTAATAGGTAAGGGAAGTGGGTGAACTGGGCTTGGATGAAGGACTGACTCTAAAGCCCATATTATTTTTTTTCCCAATATTTATTTATTTATTTGAGAGGCACAGTTACAGAGAGAGGGAGAGACAGAGAGAGAGAGAGAGGTCTTCCATCTGCTGGTTCACTCCCCAAATAGCCACAAAGGCTGGAGCTGGGCCAATCGAAAGCCAGGAGCCAGGAGCTTCTTCCCGGTCTCCCATGCGGGTGCAGGGGCCCAAGCACTTGGGCCATCTTCTGCTGCTTTCCCAGATCATTAGCAGGGAGCTGGATTGGAAGTGGAGTAGCTAGGACTCAAACTGGTGCCCATATGGCATGCTGGCGACACAGGCAGAAGCTTAACCTACTGCGCCACAGCGCCGCCCCAAGCCCATATTCTGAACTGTGCCCACATCTGAGGGATCTGAGAGGCGATTTGGAGGAAGGAAAGCCACTACAGCCTTTCCCTTCCCTGGTACTTGCTCTGTCTCCTTATCCAAAGAGATGTGGCTCCCAGGTGTGTTCATCCCAGCCTGGGCTCAGCTGGGACACCTTATCCTGTATAGCAAGATAGCACTGCAGGTCTCAGTGGCTCCCAGGGCTGATAGGGTGGAGAGGCCTCATTTCCCAGACACTGGGGAGACAGGTGCAGTCCAGAGGTGAGAGAGAAAAAACGACCCCTCATCATCGCCCAAGAGACCCAACATGGTGACAACCCCAGACTGCTGGGTGAGTCAACCACATAGAGGCAAGATGTAATCCCGAGGGCTCGGAGACATTTTAGCAAATGTTAGCGGCAGGCTCCGCAGAACAGCCCCGTCCGCGGGAAGGGGGAGTCATGCTAGCACGCATGGCATGGGCACACTCTTCGGCACAAGGGACCTGGTTGCTAAGCAACAGTAACTGGCCTCCCTCCTCCCCATAACCTTTTTTCTGAGTTTCTGAGCTTCTAGTTGGCAGGGGAGGGGCTGGGGCTACCCAACCTAGTAGCACTTGGCTCCCTTTCCCTGAGACAAGGGGCCTATTCATGGGGCCTGAGCAGAGTTCATTGTCTCTCTGGCATGTGTGTGTGTGTGGAGCAGGGTGTAGGGAGGGGCCATGTGTGAACCAGGGAGACCTTCTCCTCTAACCAGACAGGCTGGGCTGTTTAATCAATGCTGACCCAAGGACAGGAGCAGAACGCTGCCTGGCAGACCCTGAAGCCTTCCATCCGGGCCATCCACCTACACGGTAAGGCTGTATCTCTGTGGCATCCCTGCTCCCACCTCTGTCTCTCCCTCTCTCCTAGGCTGGTGGAGAGAGCCTCCCTCAGGCAGCTGTGGTGCAGGAGTTGGATCCTGGAGGGGACCCTGTGTGGCCAACCTCCTGCCCCCCCCCCCCCCGCCCGCCCCCGGGGACTTCCTGTGTCCCCATAGCCTAGTCTAGCATTTTGCAACTAGGCGGTACTTAGCACATCACTATCACACTGCACTCCCACTCGAAAAGGGCTTTTACAGGTCAGGACCAGTTTTCCAGGCTGCCACTTGGGCTTGGGCAGGTGGGTTTTGAGGTGGGCTGATACCTAAAATGGGGCCAGTTTGTTCAGAGGCTTAATACGCAGCTCCCTTTGAAACCAAGATGGGGGAGAGGCTGAGCGTGCCCTGGCATTCTCTGTAGAGCAGGTCCTGCCTCACTGCTCAGAGCAACATCCACTCAAGAGCAAGCCATACCCTCAGAGAAGAGGCCAGGTCTCACAGGCTGTTACCCTCTTTGCTTTTCTGTGGGTGCTTGATGCTTTGCCCAGCCTGCACAGTCCTTTAGCCTCGCTGCCCATGCCCTGTGGAGGCTCAGCTGTAGGCACACAAGGGAGTGCATGTGATGGCACGCACACCATGACCTGTTTTCCCATTGGAGCACAGGCCTGCTGCTGGCAGGGGGTCCAGTCCTTCTGGTCCTGGCTGTAACTGGTGTAGGGCGTGGGAAGGTGGGGCTGGTAGGTCACGCTAAAGGAAGGTATTGAGCCAGAGCTGCATTTGGGAGCTGAGCTGGCCTGAGTGCTCATGGGCCCAGAGTGAGGATTTCAGGGGAATTTAGAGGTGACTGGCCCAGGAGAGTCTGATGAAGGCTTTCCTGCCCTCAACCAGAGGTCGGGCAAAGCCAGTTCAGTGGAGCTCCTGGCAGGCCTGGGGGCAGTTTTGGCGTGAAGGGAACACTCCATGCGATACCCGAGAAGCACATCTAAGCCAGCGTTGCTTTGGAGTCAGTGCTGCTGGCTTTTATGATCACTGTGTCGACCGAGAAACATGGCCAGTTCAACTAAGGAGACGTGTCTGGTCGCCTGGGGGAACTCCCTGAGAAAGGACCCACAGTCTAACGCCTTTCTGATGGATATTATTGTACGCACCATCTGCAGTGCTAAGGATGGCCCTTCTTCCTTCCTTCCCTCCGTGTGCTTTAACTCAGCTCCCCTTCTGTGCAAGGCTCTGTGCGAGGGATACAGAGAGCAGTGAGCAGGGAGGGAGAGAAGATGAAAGGAGCCCAGCACAGCAGCAGGCGCTGTTTGTGTCAAAGGAAGGTCCCTGGGCAAGGGGCGGCCAGGCTGACTCTGGGGGGGGGGGGGTCGGTAGGAGTTAGCTCCACGGGGAGGGGATAGCAGGAGCCACGTCCGTGGGGTGAGGGTGCCTGAAGGCACTGTGGGACTGCCATGGCAGCGTGCCCTGGAGCTCTGGGGTGGAGGAAGCTGTGAGCGCCAGGCTCTCAGTGGTCGCCGGGAGCCTTGCTGCAGCACCCCCCCCCCCGCCTCCATCCTGCAGCTGCAGAGGCATGGTGGGGCTCCTGCACCCATGTTTAGAAAGGTTGCACAGGCTCTTCGGGGTGCAGTACCACAGAGAAACCATGCTGGAGGAGAGACATTGCTCATGGGGTGGTAGGAGTCATCACTCTTACTTTGGACAGACGGCCCGAGTTGTCCAAGTTCACTTTGTAGGTTGTAGACTTAGCTTTGAACTGTGTGAGGTTTTGCCAGATCTTACTTCCCATTCCTCACAGCTACCAGTTCAAGCCCTGTTCATCTGTGAGGGCCTCTCCCAGGAGCTGCCTCTTCTAGGAAGCCTTCCCTGATCTCCTCAGTGAGAAGTAAGTGCTTTTCCTTTTGAATGCTGCTGGTAGCTTTGTTGACCTTTGTCTCTGCGGCTTAACATATTCCACCTTGTTTCCATGACGTCCTCAGGACTGCACTGCAAAGCCTTTGGGGTGGTGTAGGTGGCCCATATGGCTCTATTCCCAACTCCCCACTGTGTCCTCCTAGTGACACTTTAGTGACACAGAATGAGTGGGTGGGAGGGCGCATAGGGTAGGGGGAATGAAGACGGGGTTGGAGAGGGGAAGCTGAGGGGCCACGTGGAGGCGCTCCAGCAGATGCTGGGGATGCTCATGGAGGCAAGATGAAGGGTGGGCACCCAAGTGGGCCAGATCCAGGTTCCAGTGTCTGCTGTGTCCCTGAGGGCAGGGGGTGTCGGGACCCCAGGAGAGCAGGGAGGGCCTGGAGGGGCCTCTGTGGAGAGTCCTCAGGATGAGCGAGGCTTGCAGGTGACAGCGCGGGGGAAGCGAGGGCACATGGGCTGGGACTTGTCTTGGTAGTTCTCGGTGTGGGCGCCCTGGCTGTCTGACCTCTATTTCCCCAGAGTCTGATGCTGGAAAAGCCATCCCCGATGGAAGCTCAGTGCACAGGGCAGAGCCCGGGACCTGGGACCTTTGGAGCAAAGCCGGGAGACCAGCAGCAGCCCAGCAGGCCAGACTGGGCCACCGGGGAGCGACAAGGTGGGGGCAGTGAAGGGAATTTTCCCTGCCCCCCCGATGCTTCTGGGGCCAGAACCCCCTCTCTCTCAACCCCCTCCCCTGCTTCTTCTCCCTCTTCCCTTTCTGGGGAGTGAGTGGGCTCCGTGGGTTGCAGTAATTGGAGCCTGACCACCTGACCTGTTCCAGGCCCACAGGGCTGGGGCAGAGTTCCTGTGGGAATCCATTGGGTGCCCCAGGGTGGAGCAAGGCTGTCTGGCAGGAGTAGGGGACAGAGACGTCTCGTACCTTCCAGTCTCGCAGGCGGGGTGCTTGTGTTCCGTGAGTCGCGGCTGGACAGTGCTGGGAGCTGTGGGACTGCTGGTCGGGGCCGGTGTTGGCTCGTGGCTCCTAGGTCAGTGCAGGGGGCCCTTCTGTGGTCTGGGGGTGAATTGGGCGGGGGACAAAGAACAGGATCTGGGGGGAGGTGGGAGAGGAGAGCAGGTGCTGAGCAGGTGTGGAATGCAGAGGGGCCAGCACCTTTCTTATCTACTGTGTGTAGACAACAGGAGGAGAAGGGCTGACATTGCAATGGCAGGGATTTGGGCTCTACAAAATGAACATTCTAGTCCTGCAGTAGGAAGTGTAAGTTTTCAGGGAGGCCCTAGTCAAGCTTTTTCTAGAAATCTTTTCCAGTAATGGGAGAGAGAGAGAAAGAAAATAGGAGTGAAAGTGTGTGGGTGGGTGTATGTGTGTGTGTGTGAGAGAGAGAGCGAGAGCGAGCGAGCGAGCTGTGAATTGCCTCTCTCCCCAGTTGGTTGGTCGGGGCCTGCTCAAAGCCAGGGTAGGCGACGAGGAGTCCCCAAGGAGGGGGACTCCTCCCCTTCCCCAGTCTCTCACCTGTGAGCCCCTCTGCTCCTCTCTGCAGTGCTGCACCTGCAGCCGGCCGCCTCTCAGCCCATCTCCGAGCCCTTGCAGGAGGAGGGGACGACTGTGAACTGCTCAGAGACCAGCAGCCAGGAAGCTCTGCTCCCGGTGTTTCCCAAAACAGGTGGCCACACCCCTAAGACCATGAGACTTCACACCAGCCCAGGGCCCCTTCACAGCTCTGGGTCCCCCTCAGGTCCCTGTCCCCGTCCATCTCTCCCTGCTCCAATGTGGTGATGGAGACCAGGGCCAGCCTCGCAGTACTGAGCTCCAACTTTGGGCTCCCAGCACTCCCTGGGGACTGTCTGGGTCTCTAGCTGGGGCACAGCCAGGAGCCCAGCGTGGCAGGAGAGCTGGAAGTCATGCTGGAGAAGAGGGGCCAGGTGTGGGCCTGATGGTGTGGAGCCCACCAGGGGGCCATGTTGGCCACGTCAGCCCCTATCCCCCGCCTCCGCTCTCTAGGTAAGACTTGGGGATCAGGAGGTGCAATGCTGCTCAGAGGCTGAGGATCAGAGTGAGTTATGGAAGTCAGAACAGGGCTGGAGTCTGTCTTTTGCTAGCCGTGTGACCTCCCTAGGGCACGTGTCTTCTTGGAGCCTCCATCTCCTTCTCTTTAAAATGTAAATAAAAATATTTACTGAAAGAAGTTCTAAGGATAAAAAAAGCAAATATATAAAAAGGGCTTAGCGTGGAGCCCATGAATTTGTTTGCTTGCGCAGCCTTAGCTAAAAAGCCAGACTGGATGGCCGAAGCCACCGGCACTTATTTTCTCAGCGTCTCGCAAGGTGGCAGCCCGACGTGGCTCCTAGTAAAGGCCTCTTCCTGACCTGCAGGGGCCGTCTACTCTCTGCGTCCCTTGGCCCGGTGTCTCTTCCTCTCCTTACGAGGACACCAGCCAGACTGATAGGACCTCAGTTAATCCTTTATTTATTTATTTGAAAGGCAGAGTTACAGAGAGGCACAGGCAGAGAGCATGAGATCTTTCATCTGTGAAGGTACTACCTTCTTGAAGATGGGATGTGGTTGGCATGCTGTGGTTTCAGTATCTTTCAGAATAAACAGTGAGGCGTTCTTGCTGGAAGTGCAGCTGAGGGACCGGCCAGACTGGATCCTGGTCTGCCATGAGGGCTGGATCCCTGCCCTGGGGGTGCGGATCTGCCGGAGCCTTGGGCATCTCAGGTAACAGGAGCCGACCTGGGGCTTGGGGCGGGCGGAGGGCTGGTAGGTGGGCTAGGGAAGGAAGTTGGAGACCTCTGCCTGTCACATCAAGGTACTCAGGAAACGGCAAGAGGTGGCTCTGGCCATCTGGCCTCTGGGCACAGTGGTTGCCCCTGCCTGTTTCTTTCCTTTGAGCATTTTAAAAAATATTTTAATTATTGGGCTGGTGCTGTGGCGTAGTGGGTAAAGCTACCACCTGCAGTGCCGGCATCCCATATGGGCGCCGGCTTGAGACCCGGCTGCTCCACTTCCCATCCAGCTCTCTGTTGTGTCCTGGGAAAGCAGTAGAAGATGGCCCAAGTCCTTGGGCCCCTGCACTCGCTTGGGAGACCTGGAGGAAGCTCCTGGCTCCTGGCTTCGGATCTGCGCAGCCCCGGCCATTGTGGCCATCTGGGGAGTGAACCATCGGATGGAAGATCTCTCTCTCTCTTTCTGCCTCTCCTTCTCTCTCTGTGTAACTGCGACTTTCAAGTAGAATAAATAAATCTTTAAAAAAACCAGATTTTATTTATTTTAGTTGAAAGGCAGAGTTACAGAGGGAGGAGGAGAGACAGAGAGAGACAGAGAGAAATTTTTTATCCACTGGTTCACTTCCCAAATGCCTGCCACAGCCAGAACTGGCCTGATTTGAAGCCAGGAGCCGGGAGTTTCTTCCAGGTTTCCCATGTGGGTGCAGGGGCCTAAGGACTTGGGCCATCTTCTACTGCTTTCCCAGGCCATAGCAGAGAGCTGGATCAGAAGTGGGGCAGCCAGGACTTGAACCGGTGCCCATATGGGATGCTGGTACTGCAGGTGGCAGCTTAACCCACTATGCCACAGTGCTGACCCCATATGGCTGCTTTTTAACAAACGCAAAACCTGAAGAGATCATGGGCAGGATTGTGCTCAGTCACTGTGCTGGTCGAATGTCTCATGTACATTACAATAACTGCTACTTCTCATGGCACAGTTTAAAGGTGATTTCCTCCTGTTATGTTCCCTTCCTCTGTCAAGACTCACTCACCACAAGGGAGTGAACCTGTCTGACATCAAGTTCAATGGCTCCTGGAAGTTTGCTCAGCTCTCTCCCAGACTGGAAGGCCTCCTGGAGGAGGTGTGGCTTCCCAGGTAGGGTTTCTGTTAGGTAAATGGGGTCCGTTACTTTCTGGTGGGGAGCCTAGCAAAAATCTCTCTGTCCTGCGAGGCTGGTGACCAGGACATGGCCCATGTGAGAGAGGAGAACAAAGGGGAACATGTCCCAGTCAGAAATTCCAGGCTCCATGTGCACAAGCCCCGCCCATCACTGTGTTACACACGTTACACAAGGGGACACCCAGGAGTTTGTGGAGAAATGGAATGAAAAGATAAGTTTATTTTGGCACATAAAAATTGAAATCCATGCATAGATGTCTCATAATACACATGTTCTGTGAAATTTCGAAGACTCATTATTTGCATCTGCCAGAAATACAGGGTTGGTTGTTACTGTCACAGGATTTGCAGGTGGAAAAATGGAGGCTCAGTGAGGTTACATGAAGGGTCTCATCTGAGGTCATTTGGCTAAGGAGTGGCCAAACCCGGTCTTGAAACCAGGCTCTTGTCTCCAACTATGCGCTCTCTCAACCCTGCCCCATTCTGATAGTTCAAGAGAGAGGCAGTTGAGTTATTCTGGCTAAGAGCTGCTTGGGATCCAACGAAGAGGGTTCTGGAATAGAGGCAGCCTTTCCCCCAAATCCTGGGGTGGATTTGGAGCCCCTGAGGGCACGAGCTGAGAGGTCTTTGTGCCTGCACAGGCTTCCTCAAGCTCCCCAGGGGCCTCCTGGGCTGGAGCGCGAGCGTTGCCATCGCTGCTCGGAAGTCTTCTCAGGCTAGCTCCCATTCCCAACCTGAACCATTCCCTCTGCCCCTCCCGTGCAGCTCCTGTCTTGAGGTTCTGTCCTCGGGGACACGGCTGGAACAGGGGGCGTTCTGACTAGTCCCTGTCTTGATACCCAAATGGGCAAGCTGGTGTGGACGTGGAACTGACACCTCCATCAGGGGTTGGGAAGCAAGGAGGATCAGGCCCTGGGCTGCTCGGGGCAAGAGATGAATAAAGAAAGGGGGTTTTGGCCAACAGGGAACCGAGACTTAAGCTAAGGGTTGGGGTGGGGGTGGGCCGAGAGCAGACCTATGAATATTTAGGGCTCAGATGAAGGGGCTGGCACAGGAGAGAGGGAAACCCCGGAAGGAACATGAGGGAAGAGCCCTGTTCCCTCATTCACTCACTGATTCATCCATTGAACACGCACTCGCTCAGGGCCACTTGGTGGGGACAGTGGCTTTTTCCTCTATAAATACCCTATTTGTAAGTTTGGACCCTGCCCAAATCAGCCCTCGAAGAACATGGAGACCTTCTGCTGCCTCTGGGAGTCGGGGGGCCTGGGTGTTCGGTGGGGGCAGGAAGGAAATAGTGGGATCCTAAGGCGTTGGCTCCATAACAGCAGTATGAAGTGTCCACCATCCCTCCCCATTGCCATGCCCATGGGTGGGTGTGAGCAGCCTCGGGGTGGGGACCTGTCCAGCTTCTTGTGGGCGCCTCTGTTTTGCAGGGACAACTGCACCTCTGGCCGAGTTGTGTCCCTCAAATGCTCTGGTGAGTCAGGTTTTGGACCAAGGAAGCTGGTGGTAGGAAGAAAGCATCTCCCTTCACCCCTGCCCCGAGAGTGGATGAGCCCCAGGGAGCGCTCAGCTGGGTTTGGGCTGGGGGTCTTGCCCATCTGCCTGCTGGGCCTCTCCTTGCAGTGCTGGTTCTGCCCAAACAGAGCCTGCCCAAGCTTTGGGCCTGTTCCCCAGCAGCCAGCGGTCTGGGCTGACGATTTCCTTACTCCACCACCTGCCAATTCTCTGCCATGACCTCTGACACTTCTTTCTTCTGGAGAACCCCGAAGGTGAAATTATTTGTGGTCATTGAGTAACCTGTTGGCAGCTTTGGGAGACCAAGGCAGGTGGTGAATTCGGGGCCCAGTGGGAAAGTCGTGGGCTTCCTTCACCTGCCTTCCTGTTAATCTCTCCATCTACTCACCTGTCCTCCCATGTGCCTGTCCACACGCCTCCACTTCAGATCCTACTTGGGTAGCATTGGGGCTCCATAGGTAATGCAGAGGTAGTCCCTGCCATCAGCAAGCCCACAGCCCATGGGGCTTGCAGGTGTAAAATCAACACGTCTGCCTTCTCATCCCTCAGGAATAATGAATAAGGGTGGCCACACTGACTCTCTTGGGCTTGGCTCTGGGCTACACTCCCTGAGCGAGGACCACACTCTCACCCACCTCCCTTTTTCTTCCTGTCTCACCCTTTTCTGTTGGCAGAATGTGGGACAAGGCCCCTGGCTTCCCGGATAGTCGGTGGACAGGCTGCGGCTCCTGGGCGTTGGCCGTGGCAAGCCAGCGTGACCCTGGGCTCCAGGCACACGTGCGGGGGCTCTGTGCTGGCACCACACTGGGTGGTCACTGCAGCCCACTGCATGCGCAGGCAAGTCCTGGCCGAGGAGAGGGCCTTGGCTGTCTTTTCTGTTCAGCTGTTGGGATGTCCTGTGTGAAAGTCCTCGTCCAGCTGTCTGCTCCGGGTGGGCCAGGCTGGTGTTGGACAGCTTCTCCCCATTCAGTGTCAAGAGTAGATCTGCACGAGTAGCAGGAATGATGCAAAGATCTGTTCTGTTTTTTTAGTTTTTGCAATGCTTCCACATCCACAGTACTCCAAGCTTCTTAGCATTTATCACCAGTGTAATTAACAACATTCCCCTGTAGTTATTTGTTTAATGTCTTTTTTGTCCTTTGGACCGGAAGCTTCAGCTCCGTGGGGACGGGGACTTTCAGTCTCCTTTATCACCACATCCCTTTGTAGATTTCTCCACGGCTGGGCCCCCAGGGCCTAGACCCATCCCTGGAATGTAGCAGGGGCTTAATACATCTTAGAAGGAGGAATGCAGAAGTGACTGAGCTCTTTGATCCTCTTCTCTTAGTGGCAGGCTGGGCAGAGAGTGTAACCTCATTTTACAACGAGGAGGCTGAGGCCAGGGAGGGCTGGGCCTCCTGCATGTCACATGTGGTGAATGGAGACGGGACTGAAGGAAGTGTTTCCTACCCAGCTTGGAGTCCTGAGATCACACAGGGCCTCCTGATGTTTGCTGTAAAACTTGGAGGATTATTGCTGAAGGAAAGGAGGGGTGACCCACTGTATCTCACTGCTCTGTTCATCAGTCTTTGAGCATCTATTAAGCATCTACTGCATGCCAAGTGTCTTGCCAGCTGCTGATATGATACTAAGAGGCAAGGTCCTTGGGCCTTGGGAGCTGGCAGCTTGGTGACAGGGGCCCTCACCACTGGCTTTTCTGGCCAGTGTCCCCCACCTGCCACCTAGCTTACATCAGCCTCTTCTGCCCTTTCTTTCCCTGGCTCAGCATGGCCCCTGTGTGCAGTTTCAGATTGTCCCGGCTATCCAGCTGGCGTGTCCACACAGGGTTGGTGAGCCACAGCTCGGCCAGGCCACACCAGGGGGCCATGGTGGAGAGGATCATCCTTCACCCCTTCTACAGTGCCCAGAATCACGACTATGATGTTGCCCTCCTGCGGCTCTGGACACCACTCAACTTCTCAGGTGAGACACTGGCCCTGAGCTGAGCAGGCTGGGGGCTGTGGTGGGAGAACAGCAGTGGGCAGGAAGAGAGATGAGCTGATTTCTCAGGTTTCGTCCTGATGCTGTAAGCCTTAACACATTCAGTTCATCTGGGGACCAGAGTGCATTTTGGCATCATGTACACCTGATGTTGCACCAACTCTTTGTGCATCTTTGGGAGGAAAAGCGTCAGGTTCCTTTCAGGCTGAGTCAGGTAGGATTTGCCTGTGTGGTCCCAAGCAGAACGTCACGGTAGCTGCATCTGTCAGTTAGAGGATCCACACCCCAGGTGCAGGCTAGTCGCAGGTCCCAGCCATGTTGTTTTTTTATTTTTATTTTTTTAAATTTATTTTTATTTATTTGACAGGTAGAGTTATAGACAGTGTGAGAGAGAGACAGAGAGAAAGGTCTTCCTTCCATTGGTTCACTCCCCAGATGGCCACCACGGCCAGTACTGTGCCGATCCAAAGCCAGGAGCCAGGTGCTTCTTCCTGGTCTCCCATGTGGGTGCAGGGGCCCAAGCACCTGGACCATCCTCCACAGCCTTCCCAGGCCACAGCAGAGAGCTGGACTGAAAGAGGAGCAACCGGGACTAGAGCCAGCGCCCATATGGGACGCCGGACTGCTGGCGGAGGATTAATCAAGTGAGCCACGGCGCCGGCCCTTTTTTTATATTTTTTTTCCAGCCATGTTGTGACATGTTACAGATAATGGGATTTCTTCTATTTTCTCAAGTATTTTTCCTTTTAATCCAAGTAACAATGCTGACAGGTGAGTGAAGCAGGTATATGCAGATCAGGATGCTGAAGTTTAGGTGGGGGAAATGACTTTCTTCAAGGCCACATGGCAAAAAATTTCTTAGTCTCATGTCCTGACACCTGGGCCGGTGCTCTACCTGTCATACCACCTGCCACAGAAGGGTGAGGCCAGGCTGCAGCCATCGCAGCCACTGCCCTTGCTGACCTTGTGTCTACCTGACTCAGCCTGAAAGGAACCTGACGCTTTTCCTCCCAAAGATGCACAAAGAGTTGGTGCAACATCAGGTGTACGTGATGCCAAAATGCACTCTGGTCCCCAGATGAACTGAATGTGTTAAGGCTTACAGCATCAGGACGAAACCTGAGAAATCAGCTCATCTCTCTTCCTGCCCACATGCACATGCACATGTACTCATATAGTCACGTGCACACATTCTGACACTCAGCCCCCCCATACACACACTCATACATACACACACAATATCCCAACATACTTGTACACACACTTATACACACACACTCACACCACATACCCATACATACTTGTATACACACACATACATACACACACCACATACACACATATTTGTATACACACATACATACATGCTCACACAACACCCCCATACACATATACACACTCTCATACACACACACTCACACCACATACCCATACGTACTTGTATAAACACACACACATACACACACACACTTCACACTCCTCCCTCCATCATCACCTGTATCCTTGGGTTGCCTGAACAACAGTCATGGCTACAGGCATTTCACAGATTTTATTACATGTATGAACTCTTTTGTTCAACATATAATATTTCTTTTTTTTAAAGATCTTTTACATCTTCTCTGGATTTACTTGTTTAAGTTTGACTTCTACTCCTTTTTTTTAAAATGATTTTTATTTATTTATTTGACAGGCAGAGTTAGACAGTGAGAGAGAGACAGAGAGAAAGGTCTTCCTTCCATTGGTTCACTCCCCAAATGGCCACCATGGCCGGTGCGCTGCACAGATCTGAAGCCAGGAGCCAGGTGCTTCCTCCTGGTCTCCCATTCAGGTTCAGGAGCCCAAGGACTTGGGCCACAGCAGAGAGCTGGACTGGAAGAGGAGGAGCCAGGACCAGAACTCGGTGCTCATATGGGATGCTTCGCCACAGGCGGAAGATCAACCAAGTGAGCCACGGCACTGGCCCCAATATTTCTTTTTTTTTTTTTAAAGGTATATTTATTTATTTGAAAGTCAGAGTTACAGAAATAGAGAGAGAGAGAGATCTTCCATCTGCCTGTTCACGCTACAATAGCTGAAGCTGGGCCAGGCCAAAGCCAGGAGCCAAGAGCTTCTTCCAGGTCTCCCATGTGGGTCCAGGGACCCAAGAACTTGAGCCATCTTCTGCTGCTTTCCCAGGTGCATTAGGAGGGACCTGGATTGGAAGTGGAGGAGCCAGGACTTGAACTGGTGCCCATATGGGAAGTCAGCACTGCAGGCGGCGGCCTCACCTGCTATGCCATAGCACCGGCCCCCATTTAATATTTCTAAGTTGACTTAAATAAGTATGTTTAATACAGAAAACTACCTAAGTCAGGGGTGGGGAGCATCTAGCTCACGGTTGGTCCATATAAGGCCTGTAAAATCATTTTGTCTGTTTCTGCCACAGCAACCACAGGTGGGACTTGAAATGCACTAAATCTATAGCAGGCTAATTTTTAAAAAAGATTTATTTATTTATTTATTTGAAAGAGTTACACAATTACACAGAGAGAAGGAGAAGCAGAGAGGCAGAGAGAGAGAGAGAGAGAGAGAGAGAGAGAGTCTTCCATATGCTGATTCACTCCCCAATTGGCTGCAACTGCTGGAGCTGCGCTGATCTGAAGCCAGGAGCCAGGAGCTCCCTCCAGGTCTCTCATGTGGGTGCAGGGCCCAAGGACTTGGGCCATCCTCTACTGCCATCCCAGGCCACAGCAGAGAGCTGGATGGGAAGTGGAGCAACTGGGACTAGAACCGGCGCCCATATGGGATGCTGGCACTGCAGGCCAGGGTGTTAACCCGCTGCGCCACAGCGCCAGCCCAGTAGGCTAATTTTTAAGCTGATCATTCTGTATGGCCCATGAATGATGTCCATATCCAAATGGCTTTGGCAGACAAAAAGTTTCCCCTCTTTTCTGTGGAGAACCCATGTTGCTTATAATAATAAATAGTAACTGCAAAAATCCCTAGTGTGAAAACGGATCAGCCTTCACGTTTCTAGGTAGTGAAGTCCTCGGTAGGAGCTTCTCTCCCCGAGAGAACCCCACCCGTGGGCCGTGTCGCACACTTTTGAAAGCACTGCGCGAGGAGGGACCAGACTCCCTGGTGGAAAAGCCAAAATGGGCCAGAGCACTTTCCGGCAGTGGGTGGCGGCATGTGCACTGCCCACCCCTAGAGGGCGCGTGCACACTGCAGTGTGCGCATGTCTGCTGTGAGTGGTGACCCCTAAGGTGGGACAGCACACTACCTGCCCAGCCGTCCGGGCCGGGCACTGAGACTGAGAAGGGAGACGGGGAGGAGCTGCCCGCCCTGAGGCCTTCGCCCAGACGGAGGGAAGTCGAGCCCGAGTGGGGACCGGGACCGTGTGCCTCTCCACAGACACCGTGGGCGCCGTGTGCCTACCTGCAGAAGAGCAGCGTTTCCCTGGCGGCTCGCAGTGCTGGGTGTCTGGCTGGGGCCACACCGACCCCAGCCACGGTGAGTCAGCTCGCGGGGCCCTGGGGGCATAGGGGCGCAGTGGCGGGGGTGGGTGGTGGGTTGGGGTGGCATCAAGCACCTGCTCCTCTTCAGGCCATGGCAACGCCTGGTATCACTCTCAGGCAGGCCTAGGGCTCCAGGTCTGCTGCCCAAGTCTTTCTGGAGAGAACAACTGGAATTTTCCTTACATCCAGGCCTTTTCTAACCCAGGAGGCCGTGACCTCTGCATTTGGTGGCTGTGAGTCCTCCTCTTGGTCGCCCCAGCCCCACTGCCAGCCACCAAGGATGATAGGCCCTGCCCCTTCCCTGGGGCTCCATGTCCCCTGGGACCCCTGACCACCTCTGCTTATGCTGCTCTGCCTCCCTGGGCCGTGCTAGGGACCCTGTAGCTTCTCTCGGTGTCTCCCGCAGCCCACAACTCGGACACGCTCCAGGACGCGGTGGTGCCCCTGCTCAGCTCCCAGCTCTGCAACAGCTCTTGCATGTACAGCGGGGCCCTCACCCCCCGCATGCTCTGTGCCGGCTACCTGCATGGGAGGGCCGACGCCTGCCAGGTGTGGCCTGTGCTCCGGGGAGGGGGGGGACCAGGGACCTGCTGTGACTTGGCACCCTGGCCTGAGCATGTTGGTGGCATGAGACAGCCCGTCTAGGAGGAGGGACACTGAGGCAAGCCGGGAGTTTGTGCTAAGAGTTTATGGAGTGGGGTGAAGCTAACAGGTGTCCCAGCAGGGAGAGGAGGGGCCTGGGAAGGAGAGCCCATTCCCCATGAAGGTCTGGAGCCCTCCCACCAGCAAGGACTAACTGGCTGTTTCGCTCTGTCTCATGCCTGCACCCCTCAGGGGGATAGCGGGGGCCCCTTGGTGTGTCCAGATGGGCATATGTGGCGCCTGGTGGGGCTGGTCAGCTGGGGTCGTGGCTGTGCAGAACCCAATCACCCAGGGGTCTACGCCAACATGGCTGAGTTCCTGGACTGGATCCACGACACTGTGCAAAGTGAGTTGGGGGCAGGGAGGTTTCTAAAGAACCCCACCTTGGACCCTTGAACTTCACCCTATAGGTTTGGGCCCTGCTGGGTATTGGGGAGGGAACAAGGGACAATGGAGGCCTTAGCTGGTGAAGAGGAGGCCTGGGCTCGTAGTCTAGATCTGCCATCTCCTGGGTAGCCTTTGGCAAGTTCCGAACCTTGGTCAGCCTCAGTTTCCTGGTAATAGCGGCTGTGGCTAGCTGTGTGCCAGTGTGACCATTAAATGAGACAAGACCTGCCCGACGCCTGGCATGGTGCTAGGCTGAGAGCGGCAGGGCTGGTGTTATTTACATACTAGTTAGCGTCATTCATCCCTGCTCTCTAAGGCAGTTCCTAAGTGGCTGCATTCCTGCACTCAGGGGAGAGCTGACACCCAGCAGTTTGGGTTCTGCATTTGGTTACGTCCTTTGTGATGCTGGGCATGCCACCGTTCTTCCTCCCACCGGCTGTGGGAGGACCAGGCGAGATGGCATGAATTTGTAGCAGGTGCTTGCTTTACCAGCATGGGCACCGGCACAGGTGGAAGACAATGGCTTTAGGATCCACTTAGGGTATGCATCCACTTCCTCATTCCAATCGTAGAAAGAACTCAGAAAACGCACAGGTGTTTTCTGCCCCATGTGCTAGAAGTGGCAGTCAAGGTTCTGAATGCTAAGTGGTGACACCAGAGCCACAGCACAAATCTAGCTCCCTTCTTTGGTGCAGGACTGCCTGCCCTAAGTCTTGCTGTGTCCTCCACTGTCATGGCCGCGTGGTCTCATGTTTCCTGGTCTCCGGCAGGTCCACTAGATGGAGGAGCAGCAGCAGCCCTGATGCCGACTGTGTGAGATCTCCTACACGGCGAGAGAGACCAGCTGCCGCCACCCACGGGCCACCAGGCCCTGATTTTGAGAGTCTGTTTCTCAACAACAGGCGAGAGACTGGGGCTGGGTTAGAAATGCTAGGGGAGGTGAGAGATGACGAGGACGAGAGGGTCCGTTGCTGGAGACGAAGAGGCTGCTGGGAGCAGCTGGGAGCCTACCCTTCCACCCTCTCCCCTCCCCAGCCACCTTGTGCGTCATTAGGGACGTACAGGGTACCCCTGCTCCTGCCTTCTCTCTCTGGCCTGAGGCAGGGGCACGCTAAGAGCCTCTGCAGAGGATCACCTGGCACCAAGGCTCCTGGGCAGATAAGGTCAAGGCCAGGCCAGCCCAGATTAGGCCCAAGGAGTTGGGGTTCTCCCCATTGCCCTGTTGGTCTCAGCCACTTCCTGTTCTCCCTGGCTATGTGGGACTTGCCTGGGGTGGGCAGGATGCTGAGCAACAAGGAGGTTGGTGGTGGAATAGGGTGTTGGTTTAAAATAGGAGCTCTGCACATGGGTCCAAGGAGTTCTGGCATTCAAGTGAGTGAAGTGCTAAGTGGTCTTGGTTCCGGTCCCTGCTGTTTCTCACATGGACCCATCATGGGATGGAAACACAACTTTCCTCCCACACATGTTGTTTGAAGCTTTGGTACTGACTTCTGTTCATCTACTCTAGATTTTTGTCATCTGCTTATTAATTTCATCCTCTGTCTTTTAAGTTTATCATTTTGAAAAAAAAAATCATTCCCACATTCTTTCACTCTTCAAATGCCTGAAATGGCAGGGGCTGGGCCAGGTCAAAGCCTAGGGCTGGGAACTGAATCCAGGCCTCCCAAGTGGTGGCAAGGGCCCAGCTACTGCAGCATCACTGTTGCCTCCTAGGGTATGCATTAGTAGGATGCTGGGACTGGGAGTTGCGCCAGAACCCAGACACTTTGATGTGGGATGTGGGCATCCCGGCGGGTGTCTTAACTGCTATGCCAAACACCCACTCCTATTTAATTCAAATTTGTTGCATCTGCCTCTGATGAAAAGCCCCAGCTGACCAGGTGCTTCACAGCTTCAAGTCTGCAAACCATGCAGGCCCCTGCTCTCGCAGGGAAGGTTAAACTCCCTGCAGGCCTGTCTTTCCCTCTTAGCTCTTGTTTTGGAATAGAGCCTTTGGCTCGGGACATCTCTTTCTGGGTTTATGCCCAATTACCATTTTCCTGGTTAAGTCTTTCCCCACTTTCTCTTCTGTGGCAATTAAAATGCAATTGGTATCTTGTTTCTAAAAACTGCCATGAATTTTTTATGGTGCTTACCCAAGGAAATGCAATTAGTGTTGAGCAATCACAGAACTTTGTGGGTTTATCAGCATATTTTTTTTCGAGGTGGTGTACAGATGATCACTCTTTCCTGGAGGGTCTCCTGTACTTACACAAAGTGCATTAAAAATTCAGGGTGTGCATTTACTGTCGGTTTATTACTTGCGGAGGAGCTTCCTGGGAGTCTGCTGTCCAATTGCAGAAGTGATGTGGAGAGGTTCTGCTGGGGTGCAGAACAGCCCCACCCCCAACGCCGTGGCCCTGAAACCGAGACCTTCGGCCATCACCACCTTTTACTAACTGGTAACATTTGGCCAGTGCTTTGCAGTGGATAAAACTGGCTCACCTGTGGGATCTCGCATCTTGGTAGTGGTGCTATGACTATCTCTGCCCCCAATTTACGGAGAAGAACATTCGTTCAGAGGGGCTAAGTAACTCTCCTAACATCACGCAGCTAGTGAGCACGAGGCCCAGGATGTGAACTGTGCGTGCTTTCACTCCAAATCCATGTCTTTATCTTGCACGTGGGTGAATGACAGGGCCTCATGTCGCACAGAAGGGTAGCATTGGAATACATCCACCAGCTCACCTGTCAGGTCACCTGCATCCCGTAGTGCACTGCTTGCTACTTTCTATAGGTGAGGTCATGGACACCCAAGGAGGGCGGTGGCCCCTGTCAGAGACTGGGCTCACCCAAAGTGGGGCAGAACTGGAAATGCAATAAACACTGCCAGTGGCCACTGTAGTTGTCAAGAGAGGAGGTTTCCTAGACTCTCCATTGCTCTTCTTTCTTCGCTCCTCTGCCCTCTCCTGGCCATGCACTTGGCACCCTCCTGCTGCTCTGGGGTGCTGCGAAGGAGAAATCCCCTTCACCAGCAGCCCATCTCCCAGCCTCCCTCAGCAGCCAGGGGCTGGGCCCTGTCTGCCTCCACATCGGATGCACTAAAATGAGCTCTGTGGGCTTCCCTGCTCTGAGGACCCTGCTTCCAACTACACTGACTGCTCGTCGAATGCCATCTTAAAGCTCTCCACTTCCAGGCAGTAGGGAGGCTGAGGCTGGTCTCCTGCCAAAGGAGAGGCAGTGTGGGCAAGCGCCAGCCTCAGGGTCCCCAGGGGGAGCAGTCGGGGTGCAGGAAGAGCTTTTTCACCTGGAGTTGGTACTGGAGCAGACCACACTGGGGAAGCCACAGAACAGGGAGGGCAGTGGTGGGCTCATCTCCGAAGCTTTCTCCCTTCCAAGGAGCCTCGGGCCTTGGCATCTGGCTGTAGGACACCACATTCCTGCTGCTGAGCCCATCTGTGTCTGTAACCACGAGGCAGTGGGCTGGCCATGGTGATGGCCTCCGGGGCCTGAGGCCTCACGCCCGCCAAATTAGGCGTCTGGGCAAGGTGGCCTGCAGGGCATCTGCCTGATGAGTGGATTTCCCACAAGCCTCCTGGGCCTCTTGAGATGCTGGCTTCACACCTTCCAGCTGGGACACCCCTGCAGGCTGCTCGGGCTCCGGGCCTGACCTCTGGGTTGCTGGGAAGAATAGACCCCAGGACAAAGATTTCAAAGATACCCTGCCCCATGATCTTCTGCCCAGCGTTGGTGCCCTGGGCTCCCGATGTTTGGGACCCATTGGCTGGGGAACCCTTCAGTCCAGGCCGAAAGAGGATGGTGCTGGACCCTAAGCCTCTTGTCTCTCTTTTGCATAAAGAGTTCTGCAAAATCCAGGTCCCCTCAGTCTCCTGGGACCCTTCTATCCTCCTTCGGGCCGACTGAGCCAGATGGAAGCCCTCTCTGGTGCCCAGAGTTGGAGGGGGAAGGTCCCGGGACTTGTCAGCGTGTGAGCTGTTTGGGAAAGGCTGGGACTCCAGCAGGTGCTGCCTTGGCCGCGAGACTCTTACAGAGAGATTCCTTCCTCTTGCAGGGCTGCCAGCTCACCTGGCTGCTCCCTCATCCCCATGGCGGCTCCTGAGCCAGCAGCCAGAGCACCCCTGTCCCCACCTCACCTAAAGTTTGCAGCAAAGTATCTGGCACCCTCGGCCCAGGTGCACGCTGGCCATTTTGGGGTGTTAGGAGGGTGAAGCAGGTAGAAAGTCACCCAGGAAGCCATGAAAATGGATTTAGTGGTTTCCTCCTTGACTTCTGCAGAAACTGGTACAGGGTCCAGCATGTGACAGGTGCTGAGTGAGAATGGTGGCGCCCACTCAGGACGGGGTGAAGGGCCAGCCGTCCCCCTGGGAGCTGGATGGGCCTCTTTCCTGGTCCCCGCCTTTCAGCAGCCTCAGAGAGAGAAGCCGAGAAGAGACTGCCAGACTGCTGGAGCCCCCAGGGATTTTGTGGGGTTTGTTTTTCCTTAGCTGTCTGCAGAGGTGAGGGCATGAATAAAAGAAGGAGTGAAGATTTACTGTTCCCACACCTTGGCAGTGAGCCCCGTATTTGTACAGTGGATCTGGAAGAGGAGAGGCTTGTGTAGGTGGGAGGGATGCTGCGCTCAGAGAGGAGGGAGACCCTGGCAAGCAGCTGGAGGTGAGGTTGGCAGGGGTAATCTTGGGCCACTTCTCCAGCCCCAAGGGCCAGGGTGTCCCCAGACCCCAGCCTTTGCCCACACGTGAGGACAGTTTTGGGCTGGCAGAATCCTCAGCAGGCATCCAGGCTGTGACAGTCTTTAAACCCAGGAGCAGGTGTTGGGCCAATGGAGTGCACTGCTCCGGGCTGGTCCTTGTTGGCCGTTCCAAGGCCTGAGAGTGGATGCATCCTGAAAGGGCTTTTGTCACGGCTAAGCCTGCCTGGGGCTGGAACTCGGAGCTTTGCAGCTGAATGTGCCCTCGGCCACATGTGCCACATGTGTGTCCATGGCCATGCAGCCCATGTTTTGGTGACATTGTATTTCTCCCGAGGCCACCAACAGACAGGCCCCTTGTACACGGCAATCCTAGTGGCTCAGAACTCATGGGAAGGAGCAAAAGGCAGGAAAGCCCTGGAAGATGATAGGATCCATGGTGCCTGCACATGTATGCATGTATGAGTGTGTGTGTGTGTGTGTATGCATGTGTGTGTTATGGGGGAAGTTCGAAGGCCTGAAGGAGGTGGGGGAAGAGATGTTCAAGGAGACAGGCATGGTCTGCTGAGCCCCGCCCCCAGTGGTGATGGCAGCCCAGCTATTTGGGGTTCCAGGGTAGGCCCCTCCCCTGGATCCTCCCTCATGCAGGCACCACACTTCCTCCTTCCCTAAATGTTCTCCCCCTCCAGGGGTGACCAGGCCAGACCTACCCCTCCGTGCACAGCCTCAACACTACCCGGCAGGCGTGAGCATAAATTGCTGGGAAGAATGGATCACAACGGCCGTATACCAGGCAGACAGACATGTACAGCATTCCACTCCCCGTGGGTCCTCCAACCTGTACGCTATCCTCTCTCAAGATGCCGAACACTTGTGGGGCCCGGGGCAGGAGTGCGGGTAGAGGCCCACATACTGGGTGTCCAGACAGCTAAAAGGAATAGGTCAAGCTAAGACATTGTTAAATTAGAACTGTTACATCCTCTTATCCTAACATGTCCTTATAAAGATATGGAAGGCCAGAGTCAAACTTTAAATCCTCAGATTCCTGGATCTCCCTCCTGGAGTCAGGTGGATGGGGTGTGCCGGCCCCTGACACAGCCCCTCCGTGCAGCCGTGTGCAGGACAGCCTGCTTCTGGGTGGGCCCACCAGCAGGGGCTGCCCTCAAGGGGAGAGGCCTGCACAGCGTCTGTCTGTGGGCTCAGGCCATTGGAATCCTGGAGTCTGGCAGGGGAACACAAACTCTGGGTAGACACGTGGCTTCAGCGAGGTTTGGGCAAAGAAGGGCCTGGATGGCAGGGCCAGGTGCGGGGTGAGGCAAGAGAGGTCTGTAAGGTGTGAGATTTAAGTAGGAGCTGCTCTTGGGGTCACTCGAGGACAGGTGGGCTCCTGCCTTGCCCTGGCCCTGACCCCGCAGGACAGGGCCCAGCCCTGAGCAGAGCAGGAGAGCGTCTCTTGTCCAGTCTGCAGGGGGTCTTATGCTTAGTCCCACCTGCCAAGCGAAACAGGTGACAGATGCCAATGTCTCTTTGAGCCCTGACTCCCTAAAACACACATTTCAGGGAACTCTTGTTTTACAGCAGCCCGAGCCCCGCAGCGTCCCCTGGGCTCCTTCTTAGTGGAAAAATACCCAGAGTGACTCATTAGGATCCTGCGTGCGTGCCTCCCAGAAATGATCTGCGATAAACACTGGCAACAGCTCTCCCGTACAGACGGACTGCCATCCAGGACCTGCTCACAAGGCCAGCGAAATCCAATTAGGAAACATGCCGTGTAGGGTCCGGGACAGACGGGGAGAGGAGCTGGGATAGTCATCCTTGTGCATTTTGGAGAAACGTGGATTCAACTAAGTTGCCTTACAGGATGCTCATGAAACAGGGGAGCAAATAAACATGAGTGCGTTCAGGCCGGATGTGTGGCTCCTCCCTCGGGGGTTGCTGGCTCGATGTGGGGGCACTGGCGAGGGGCTGGGTGAGAGGGAAGAACTCGCAAAGCTAGGTTCTAATCTGGACCCCACCGCTTGATCACCAGCCCAGGGAAGCTGCTAGATTTCACTGAGTTTCTCCACTATGTAATGGGACTAATACTAGCTAAGCTCCCTACTTAACTCCAGAGTAGGTGGGAAGCCTATCTTAGCCTAGTCTGTGCTGCTGTAACAGCATAACCATGATTGGGTCATTTATAAAGAAAAGAAAGTTACTTGGCTCAGGGTTTGGAGGCTGGGAAGTCCAAGATGAGTGCCTTCTTGCTAAGTGATCCCATGACAAGGTGCAAAGGTGAGAGTGCAAGCCAGGAGGAAGTCAAACTCCCAGCCTCAAGTCCTTCCAGAATCACATGAATCTATTCATAGGCGTGGAACCTCTGGGCCGGCATTGTGGCAAAGCAGGTAAAGCCCCGGCTTGTGTCACTGGCTTTCCCTAAGGGTACTGGGTAGTGTCCTGTCTGCTCCATTTCTGATCCAGCTCCCTGCTCATGGCCTGGGAAAAGCATCAGAACATGGCCCAAGTGTTTGGACCATTGCACCCACATGGGAGACCCAGAAGAAGCTCCTGGCTCTGGCCTGGCCCAGCCCTGGCTGTTGTAACCATCTGGGGAGTGAACCAACGGATGGAAAGACTCTCTCTCTCTCTCCCTCCCTCCCTCCCTCCCTCCCTCCCTCCCTCCCTTCCTCCGTCTCTGTAATTCTGACTTTCAAATACATAAATGAATCTTAAAAAAAAAGAATGACACATCTGCTCCTAAGCACCTCCCACCATGGTTGTACTGGGGATTAAGTTTCCAACACATGTTCAAACTGTGGAGAAGACTGTGTGAAATGAAGTAGTAAGAAGGCTTTGGAGATTCTGAAGAGCCAGGCAGGTGTAAAAGGCTCCTGCTTTTAACCTTTATTGGCAAATCTGCCAGTTGTCTTGTTGATCTTGCCACCCACCATTTATGAATGTCTGTCTCCCTAGTGCCAGATGCCAGACCCCACCCAAGCCTTGAGCCCCAGCAGGGACTCAAATAGCACTGCCTTCAAAGGCACAGAGACCCGGGAAAGTGGCTGTGTTTATGATTTGTTGAAAGAGCTCAATTTGGACTATTTTGAAAGAACCATTTACAGAGAGTTGCTAGTTGACATGAAAGAATTGATGTGGTAAATGTGCAAATTTCCCACTTACTATTAGCATGTAACATTTTAAGACACCCAAGAGAGGT